AAGGCCACAGAGAGGCCTAAATAAAATGTTTTTAATTGTGTACCAGTTTAACGTTGAATATTATCTATGATTTTAACAACCTACCTCCGTGAAATCTTGGTTTGAAAGAAAGAGATGGCATCCTAAGACTTTAAAATGGCTAAGAAAGCCACTAGGGGGACATTCAGAGCTTTCCATTGGTTATTAATGTCATATATTGAACTAAGTGTATATAAGGGACCATTTCCAAAAGTGGAAAGAGGTGAGCAGGCCTACTGTATTTGATTCAGTACATATGTGATATCTCAGCAAATAGAAAAGATAAAACCTTCTTATTTTATATTCTACCTTGTCAATATCGGTAATTGGAGTTCCTAATTTGTACAAAACTTAGTATTTTGACATCACAAGCATCTAATTTGAACCAGTGCTGTATTCAACATACCACGTGACACACAAAAATCGATGTTTATCTGTGTTGAGTAATTTATAATGTACAGTTTGATACCAAACTTATTGACATAAATTCATGAAATAGTAGTTAGATAAAATTTTGAATGCGAGTCAACAAACGCGATGACATGGCCTTTCACCCGTGACCAGTCTGGAAAGGGTTAACCTCTGTATACTGTACAGCTCAAATGGGGATCATAAAACTAGCATGGTACCAACAAGTGAAACTTTTTGTTAATCACTATTATAAGAACCTTTACCTAGAACTTTGCAGTAGAAATGAGTGAAATGCATGTATTACAGGTACATTGATATTCTATATTAATGGTATTCATTAGGAAGGCCGATTGGATATAAGAAATGTTTAACCCTCTCGCTGTGGACAAGTCAAAGGGCACATGTCACAACATTTTAGAGAGTTATTTTGAAATTGTATTTAAACAACTTATTGTATGCCAACAAAGTTAGTCTCACAATGTAGTTTATAATTTAAATTTTAATATTATATACATGTCTTAATTCAAAAGAAAATATTGAAAAATATTAGAAGCTTTGGTTGTTCTAAGTAAATTTTAAATCTTTGGTATTATTCAGTCATGGTTAAGTTAAGATCATGATTATTTGCATTAAAGGGTTTTAATGGGAATGAAACCAGGGAAGGAGTTATTATTTCAGAATTGATCTAAATGCTTGTAAGAATAATATCTCGGAGTTTTGCAATAAGGTGACGATAGTATGGATTTTGTTGTTGGAAAGGGAAAAGGTGGTGCTTATCAATTTTTACAGACACCCCCCCCCCCTCACCTGGTCAGGAAAATAACACTTGTACATCCATACATAGTTAGCAATATGCATATACAGCCAGATAATCAAGTGTAAACA